CTTTGCTTGCAAGGGTGAGTCTAGATTTTATTGCTGCAGGGAAAAGGACAAGCTTTAAGGAGACAGAATGGAGGCTACTGCTGAGGAGAGTCTATGACAAAAGCTGGAAATATTCCCAGATTTTAGGAGAGTAGGCATGCTATGAGAAAACAGCAAAGTGTACATGTTCATGTCTGAAAAATGAAGGGATCTATATAGTCGCAGGTCATTGGCATCAGGGAGCTGCAGCAACAGTAGCATAGCTTGGTAACCATGAGTGAAACTGCTTATTGCATCCCACATCCAGATAGACTGATGGAAGTCAGCATGAGGAGGATGCTGTCTCTTCTCTGTGAGTATGGGATGTACCAGGCACCCAGGGTGACATACCTTTTTGACAGCTTTTGACAGTATGCATATGCAACCAAAAATGGGCTCTTGTGCTTTAATTAGGATGTAATGTGACAAGACTTTAGTTGGAGTGGAAATGTACCCACAAATTAACAACAAACATATATAGCACTCATGTGTCAATATTCAGGAAGAAGGGACTTCCATGGCTGATGTCGGTTGCCTTTCTGTACATATCTTTCTCCTAGTGGTTAATGAATAAAGCAATGTTTGGCTAGTGGCCAGGCAGGAAGGATAGGTAGGGCTACCAGATGAAGAAAATTCTGGGTCGTGTAGGTAGAGAGGAGTCCACATGTGAGCCTGGGAAGAGTGGTCAAGAGTCAGGACTTCTCTGGTAAGATAATACCATGCAGAAATACATAGATTAGTAGATATGAATTAATAAGTAAGAGTTCTCCTAACACATGGCTAACTTAGCAAGGTTTTTTTTTTCAGTTTTGTTTGTTTATTTGTTCGGTTTTATCAATGCAATAACTCCCAAGACTTTTCCTTTAAACCAAGTATTCACACATAGGAACTAAGGGCCTGATATAAGCCATAGCCATATCTAGGTGGACAGTTGGTTTTACTTGCATCAAATAGTATAGAAGCACAACTCAATTTGAAAAGTAAATGAAATACAGCTTGATTTTGAAGACAGGTTTGATGATCTAGTTTATATGGACACACTTAACTAAATGACTTACTGGAAACAGTCTTGAGTGGAACTCACCAAAACCACCATCTGAGTCAATTTGTATAACAAAATCTGATTTTTTTCCTTCCTCTTGAGCATAAGCAGATAAAATTTTACTTTGGAATCATCTCAACCAGTTAAAAAAATGCCAGCAATGAAGGTATCTCAAAATATCTACTACAGGATCTTTTTATTTTCCTTAACATGGAAAGGAGAGACAGATTATGGAGGTGCCCAAGGACATACAATGATGAACTATCAATGCCACAATGTCATAACACTAGTGAGGGAATCTGCAATTATTGCTGTCGGTGTGGGTAGGAGCAGATATGTGAAAGAATGGGTCTTCACAATGGTAACATGCTTCTTAACTATTCCCTTACTGCTATGCCATTCCATGAAAACATAAGGAAACTTCACAGCAGGTAACAATTATTTTGTATCTCCACTGTGCGGCTACAGGAGTCTTGGCTGAAAAGCAGCCACATGGGCTCCTGCAGGGATCAGTCTATAAATACTACATATGATTTCCTTTCTGTGGACTTTCTACATATACACCAATTTGAAGGATAATTATTCTCCTTAATGCACATGGGCAAATTTTACAGAGTTTAGATCAGACAGAACATCAGGATCCCCACTGGTCACCATGAATAGCCAGGGAAGAATTCCCCCACAATGAAACTAGAAATAGGAATTACATGGGAATAGCAGATTACACAAGGTCTGTGTCTATGGCTGGTGGAGAAAGGATTATACTTATAAGCATAATTTTAAAACATCTCAGTATACAGTAAAGATATGGAAGTTACTCTTCTACTTAAATGTGTATGTGACATTTTTATTTATAGACCTACTAAAAATGTTTATATAGATCCTCACTTATGCTATTTTTTAAGTTAGCATCTTGAGTAAACTATTATATATTAAGCAACTAAACATGAACAACAATGTTTGAATATTACTCCACGAGGGATTAATGGCTCCTATAAAGAAATTCCACAGATAATTTCTGTACACATACTTTTGAACACAGCTATAAATATCCCCAACTTAGTAACAAGAAGAAATCTGTCCCTGAAGAAAGCTGCTCAGTTTTCTTAGAATAAATTGATCCCATCTCCACTGTAACATGAAATAAGCAATGTCCTAGTTAATTTAGTAACTTAAATTTTCAGTGTGCTCCCTGGTTCCAAAGAGTATAAACACCACATATAACCAAATAATCTTGTGCATTCACAACTTGAGATATATAGAAACCTTGCTGGAAAGAAAGGGGATGCTGTAGTAGCATCTTGCCTTGCCAGTGAATTTATGGCAGTGGCCACACCTTTGGGTATGGTTTCACATTCGCTGTCTAGACAAGATGCCAGTACAGGGGACAGGGGAGGCTTTAGAGCTATCTGGTCATGTACATGCTCTAAAATCAAAAGCATGTGGTTTTCATTTTATTTGAGACAAAGAAACTGTTTCAACAATCAAGCAAGCTAGTTATCTGGTCTGGGTGGTACAGAGAGATACATACAGCTTCTGGTTTACTGTGACTGGTGTTTCATGTCCTAATCAAGTGACTTCACGACAGTGTATGTCTCATCACTTTCTAACCACTTGATTTTATTGGCCTTTAGAGATCCCTATTTCCGGTAAATAGAGGAGAAACCGCAGTGTACATTAAGTATTTCACTGACATGAACGTTGCAGTAATCATTAAGGATCACCCATGTCTAGACTAAACATTCACAATGAATAAAAGGTTTTTTCTTCCTCTTTTAATTCCCCACCCTAGAGAAACAATTAACTGATAGCTATAATTGTGATCTGTATTTTATAAAGTAATGACCATCTGGTGGGCTTTAAGCTACATGTTATCTATACAGCACCACATTTAATCACAAGCTAAATGTAAACAGGAAATTCCCATAGGTTAAAAATCTGAAGCACAAAGAAACAACCCATGTGTTAAAACTCAACAGCAAATAGCGAGACACCTCTCTTTCAGACTCAATAAAACGTCTTCCGTCATATTTAACTCTCAGGGCATCTCAGACAGAAAATGTGTTTCAGCCACATTGCTTGAACACTGGCTGAGATAAAGTGTGAAAGTCTTAAGAGTAAAAGAAGGAAGACACAGTGAAACAGCAGAGTCGCTAACGGGAATCTCCATGTGTGGATTTCAGAAATCCTGACAACGCTGGGCCAAACCACAACGATGGAGGACACTGAATGCAGATTTCATTTGTTTACTTGTTATTGCAACTGTCTTTCCTAAGACCTGGCTATCAGCTGAAAAACAAAAATGTAAAGCCATTCACCTCTCTACAGTTAAGTTGATAAAATGTTGTTATCTCCCCAAAATAACCCTTTTGTTTGGCACTATAATATTTTTAAGGATAATATTTTTAATTTAAGTTTTAAACAAGCTTGTTTTACATGTGCCTCACCCATTGTCTGATTGTGGAGCATAGAGTGTTGACAAGCAGTGGGTTATCTAGGAAGCAACAGGTAGGCCAGAATGTTCTGTGAGGCTAATCTTATGGTGTTGGGTCTTTTGTACATCATCCTGCTAGTACAGGCTGCACACTGATTAGCCCTGAGGACAGTGATTAAAGGTGGCATTGGAGAGTAGTGTCAACTTGGTTACTTAATTCTAAAATGCTTCTAAACAACAGTGTGACATTATCTTCCAGGAACTACTTTATGTGGATCTTGCCACCAGGGTCAGTTTTAGTGTTCATTTAATCTGAACTGACATTTCTGAACTGCTTGACTTGGGAAAAAAAGTGTAATTCCCTTTAATTGCAGGTGGCCTTTGCAGAATCCACTGCCATGTTTTTAAGAGGATGGTAGTTGATTACTATGAATCTCTAGTCTGTGGGTCTCCTAGGTAGAATCTGAGCGGGACCTACCTTTTCCATCTTTGTGAGAGAAACATTGCCAGTGCCTGATATGTCAGCCTAAGAAGGAACCAGTTGTCTGCATGCAATTTGCTCTGCAAGCTAGAAGACATACTTCTATTTAACAAAAGAAACCATAATTACCTTGCGTTGTTTTTAATAGCAAGGGATGTGGTAGAGACTGTTAATTGTAACTTTGTTTATAATGGCAGGGGGAAAAAGCCAAAAACAGACTATCCTAAATGTTCATGAAAAAAAGATAATTGAATCATCCATTAGTATTCAGTAGGATGAAATAAAAAGGATGAAAGTATCCCACCTATTCAGACTCAGAAAGATGCTTAAGATATAGTTTTGAATGAAAATTCAAAGGACAACATAGTTAGTAGCAAATCATACAACAACCTTCCAAGTTGATTTTATGTGTTTTTCTTGAGGCACTCAATTATTGGAAAAATGCAAAGAAGTGTCTGGAAATGTACATAACATACAGATCACAGTTGTATAGGGCTAGTATTGAGGTGATGAGCTAAACTGGGGTTTTAAATATAGAAAACAAATTTGTATTATATGTATTGAAATTAAATGTGTGAACCGAGATGCTTAAATGTCTAAGCTAGAGAGACAGCATGCTACACAAGCCTGAGAAAGTACCAGAGTTCAACACATCTGTGAAAAGCTAGGCATGGTGTAAATGCACCACTAGGAGAGTGGAGGCAGACAAATTCCCGAAGCTCATTTGCCAGCCAGTGTAGATGAATTGGTGAGTTCTATATTCAGTGAGAGATCTTGTCTCTTAAAATTTCAGTGAGGAAGACAAATGAGTTCAACCCCTGGCCCCCAAATGCATGTATCCATACTACCTGCACATACACACATACAAGTCATGCAAACACAAAGATACATACATTCTATCAAGAAATGCATTGTGTTATGGGAAAACAAGTCTGGTCTGATCAGAAGGAACTATGCCATATGTATAGCAATTGCTCATTAGCAGAAGAGGTTGGCCCTGGAAGGCCTCTACCACAAAAACTCACCCAGTGCTGTTGAGGTAGCTCTGTCCCACGCTGCAGTCTTTTGACAGTGAGGACGGGTTGAACCAAAAAGCTGGGAGGCATTGCCCATTACTATGTCTCTCATAGCCATAGTCACTGTTAGGGAAACACCCAAGATTTAGCCAGAGGCAAACTTACTCAGAACTATTTCATGTTAGTCCACAACCACCTTCGAATCAGTCAATCAAATGAGCATTTCCTAAACCAATGCCCTATAAACATTAAACATTTTTCTACACATTATCTATTACCCATGAAAAAGTCTCATAGAGCCAATATTCCCAGTTAAATACCTTTAGGATATGGGAGTGGATTAGTTCTCATGTAATTAGAGACAGTAATTAGGAACCTGGCAGTGTCGGAAACTTGAGTCTTAGTGAAAACACCATTTCAGAGGTGGCTAAGTCCTCATTACCAGTGGTGTCTTTGGGATGTTCTTCCAAAACATCTGGTTGTTACAAGTAGCGCACAGCCAGGTTTCTCTGTCTATAAACCATATGCTTCAGCGTTACAGCCAAAAAGAAAATGTCCTTCAGGAATATCTCAAGCACTTCCCCAAGGAAAAGTTTTGTCCTCAGCAGTTAGCAGTGCCAGTGGGTACTAACTGCCTTCAATCTTGCCTCTGCATTGAAAAGTCACAAAAGAATTTTCTCTCAGTATCTATGTATTCCTACTTCCAGGCGCCTCTGATATTCTTGGCTTCTGGAAAATGAAACTGGGCACAGAAAAGGACAACAAATTGTACCTTCACATGCACAGACAAATCACAGGCAGCAATGGGCAAGCATTAGTCTAAATTGGCTCATCCTTGTAATAGTGGTGAGATACAGGCACAGGTGTGCATGGGGGGAGAAATGGGCTCAGCCTCAGAGGCCTGTCATCAAGCAGCTGGAGCAGAGAATTCTGTACATACCCTCTGGATTAGGGCCTGATTCAAAACAGCATGAATATGAAAACAATAGGAGAGCTACTTCCAGAACACGCAGTGTGCACTCCAGGGAAATACCTTACAGTAGCTGGAGAATGACAAGGAGCATCCAATGACAGTATATTTCAATATACTACCGTCAGATAAGATTGTAAAAAAAAAAAAAAATCCTGTTATTAACAGAAGCCAAACAAGAGCATGGTGGGCCTTCTAAAATATTTTCAGACACCATGTCATCAGAAAAATTTCATCTGAGCAGGAAAACTTACAATAATACTACTTAAGCCTCATTTTCAACTCCACAGAGCACTATTTAGCCTGTGGGATTGGTAATAGACTCCAGTCACCATTGAATTCAATGATGTGAACAATACGGACATGTGTTGGTCAAGGAGAGGAACCTAGTTAACTTCCTTGTTTTGCATTGGTTTTGTCTTAAACAAAACCAAAATATTGGTTTTTAAATCTTATAAGAAAAAAATTTCAAAGTAGAAAATGTTTTTATGAAAAAAGCAAAATATTTGGCATATCTTACCCCACATATTTTTGTTTTTTTGAGACAGGGTTTTGACAATCCTGGCTGTCCTGGAACTCACTTTGTAGGCCAGCTGGCCTTGAAATCATAGAGATCTACCTGCTTTTGACTCCCAAGTGCTGGGATTAAAGGTGTGCATGACCGCTGACCTGCCTAGATTTTTTCCATTAGAGGAAAAGTTTGCTCTTTCTCAAGAACAGCTATTTTACAGAACCACGGCTCTTCCAGTAATGTACCATGCTGACTTCCTTTGCAAGTTCTCCTTCAGTGTGATAGACGATCAAGAACTTGTCAGACTTCAGAAAGGCGGATGTGATGGATGACTTAAGATCTCAATGCATGTATTTCTGTATCTTTCTTGGTATCAGTACCAGGGAAAGAAGAGTAATAAAGTACTTTTATCCTTGCAGGTATGTAGTATTGTCAGAAGTCCAGGTTGGGGAATCCCCTCTGGGTGAAGTTTTGATGCCCTTGAGCTAGGTACAAAGATTGACAATAATGGTTCTTGGTTTCTTTTGGTCATCAACAAGAGAAAGCAATGGTGGATCTTTGGTTTGACAACTTGCAGACTTTCTTGGCACCATTAATTCAGAGAACATCACCATTGGTGTGCCATTAGGGAAGACTAACTTTTCTATGTTGTGAGATGCATGTGTAAACAGTGTCTCACATAAATCACTCATATTTTGATGACTATACATATGACCTGTTACAGGTACACAACTAAAATCAAAATGATAATAATGAATAATTTATGTGTGGTTCAAGTTTTGAGTGTTTACATTTCTGCAAATACATGTTAATTGCTTCCTTTAGTATATATTATGAGAGAAGAAAAATGATAAGAGGGAAAGGGCAACAAAAAATGTGGTTGATTAATTATTAGTCTTCATCAATGATTTTTCAATTTCACCTGAACATTAAACACTGACCAAGAATAAGCAAGAGCATGGGTGGCTCTACAATATAGATTTCTGCTAAGCTTATATCTGGGAAGAACTCCGCTGCTCCGTCTAGTTGATCCTTCCCAATGTCTCTCTGCTTCTCCAGTTTAAATTTAGCTCCATAACCACTCAGATCACAGGGTCAAAATGAGTCCACTCTTGCACTGAGTTTATAAATGTCACTCTCTTAAGCTGTGCTTAGCTGACCACCACAGAATGAAAACTTCCAGGGACAGAGAATTTATGTCTTTGAAGTTATTATGCCTATCAAGAACGCTAGATTCTAGGAAGATTTTATGTAGTCCATAAATGTATTGTCTCCATGAGAACTCCAATTACTATCTCCCATGTTGGCGTCTGTCTGTCTATCTAAAGTGGCTCAAGATAGATCTGGCTTCTCCTTTTTCTTTTTTTTCCTGAGAATACATCATCAATATAAAGATAAATGCCAACCATCTTGTTAAGGCCTCTTAAAATCCAAAGAAGAAACTTCTGGTTTCTTGAAAGACACATCACATAGCTAATAAAAACCATGATGCTTCCAAGAGAAAATTTTATAAAAACATGAGGTCTGCCACTTAACCCTAGGTAGGAATCATTTTCTCAAATCAAAGCTTTCATCGAGAGCTTCTGTGATGTCATATTACTGAAGAGTTTTGTGAAATGGGTATGGAAGCTCACCAGTCAAAATCTGCCTCTGTACAAACACAGGGCTCAGACTCCATTGCTCCGGCATATTTCCCTTGCATGCACTTCCTCTCTGATTTCCGCTTCTTATATATCCTTTTAGCTCCCATGATGCACGCTTCACCCTGCAAGGAGACAAACATTACGTAAAATCAAGTACATAATTAGAGTTCTCCTAATGGATAACAATGTGGTTTGGGGAGACATTTACAAACTTTAATATAAATAAGTTTGGAAGCCCCATTTGTGCTATTTGTATTTTCGTTTTGATGCTGATTATGAAGTATGAGAACAAAAGCAGATGTAATAATCAATACAGAGTTTTCTAGTTATAGCCATAACTTCTTATACATTCAATAAACCAGTTTTGGCAAAATATTAGGCTTAGTGCAATGAAGGTCACACAGGAACATAAGGTAACCTGTGACTAATAAGTTGACTGCTAACCTGTAATGATTAATTCAGTGTTCCTTTTAAAAAATATCTTTACAGTTTATCATTCATGAACACATGAATAAACATTGCTAAGAAACATAAACATCCATTTTATCATTTTATCTCAATTTGTTATTTTTTTCTGCATTACTTTATAGAACTGATTTTATGATCACCTACCAGAGACGCATGAAAGCAGAAAAAAAAAAAAAAAAAAAAAAAAGCTGCAGGCATCACAATGCATATGCATCCCAAAGATCCCAAAGAGGAAAAAAAAGCAGCAATGTTGGTTTGTTTGCCTCTGAATAAGACTGAGTGCTCCTTGCTAATGCTACACTCACTAGTAAATGTATCACCTTTGTATATCTGAAAAATCAAAGCAGAATTTTAAAATCTATGATCCCCAGTCTTTTCTGAGGAAATTTGCTTTAACTGGCTCCATTTCACATCATGAGTAAATATGTTATGCAGTCAGAGTATGGTGTACAAGATGTTTCATTTCCTGAATATGGGCATGACATCTTAGTGGGTACCTCTAACTTATCCTTTGACTAGGCTGCAGATTGACTTCTATCTTGGGAAATCAAAGAGAAGCTGTCATCCAAGGATTTTGATATGAGATGAATAACTGAGGATTATGATACAGGACAGCTTTCTATTACCAATTTCACAATCTTATACTATTAGTGTCTTAGAGGAGGCAAGAGGTGCTAAATACTCCTATGGAATCACAGAGGCATGGAAGGACTTTTCTGGCATCACTCGCCCAGCATTGGCTGACTATTTTATGTCTTATCTCTCTGTTAATGGTCCTCATTGAAGCTGAAGAACTGTCCCTCACTCTGTGTCTATAATATAGCCCTAGGCCATGCTCAGACAAATTATGTTTGTATCTCAGTGCTAAATTTCATTTTGAGGTATAAATTTAAACTAAACATATTTGAATTTTTATATTATATCTTAGCATAAAAAAACAGAAACAACTTCACAACAGGATACAAATGTTGAGTTAGATCATTCCATGAGACATAAAACATGGAAGAATAAAATGGACGTTGTGGACTCGAGGACTCACTCCCATTCTTAAGCCATAAGAAGTAGTTGTTTCTTCCATTACTCCCCTGCCCCCTTTCCAGGGTTGACTGTCATCTCTCCAACTCTTACCTGGCTGTGTAGCTGCCAGGGTCTGTAGTCTTCTTCAGCACAGCGCCTATCAAAAATGGACTTGTAATCCACCTTCACCAGCTGCCATTCGGAGCGGTGGCTGAAGTGTCCAAATACTCTACAGTGATAGAGGAGGGTCACAATCATAAAGACAGCAACAGTACAACAACAGCTTGCGTTCTATCGTCTGCTGTGAAGGTGTGTGGCTAGCCCCATTACAGGGATCTCCTCGCATCCCCTAAATGGGGAGCACATTTGGGAAGAGGATGCTATCACTGACTACACTATGCAGACGGATAAAATGAGGCTCAAAGATTTTTCTCAACACAGAAATAACAGCGTTGTCACTGGCACCGGGGAAAGCCAGATCCCAAAGTACTTGTCAAAGCCACAAGAACAGGTTAGGAAATGACTGAATACACAACCACAAATAGTATCTTCTGGGTGGTCGAACACAAACTTCTAGACTGTTTGGTTAATGCATCTGGTCCCATGGATTCCATATTCTTTTACATTCTCATCAGGCCTTATAGATAGTGGACAATAGGACCAAGTAATTACATATCTCTGACCTTTTAAATCCTGTTCTCATGCAGAGACTCAGTTAATATAGAATTTAGTCACTATACATAGTATCGATTAAGGCTACAAAGTAGAATCTCAGATCACCTTTTCTGAATACAAAATAAGTTTTTGAAAATATAATGATTAAATAAGAGTGAGCTACTGAATAAACTTCTAATCTAGCTGTGTTTGGCATGTGCAAAAGTGTGGCTACTGGGCATAATAGATTTTTCTTGTCTTTTCTCATTGTTAAAAGTGAGGAGGTTTAAACAAATGTCGATTTTTCACTTTGAGTTTCACATTTTTATGATTCCTGGTTCAACTACTTTGGAATTATATCATTCCAGGATTTCCAAGGCCAATTTTCTAAGAACAGGGAATATCACAGTTTCATATTTCAAATTCAAAGTCCAAGTTTTGAAAACTATATCCAATTAAGTCATTAATCAAGTCTTTCATGAATTAATGAAAATACTTTCCAGACAAGAATGTATGTAAATTCAGTTGTGCAAAGCCATTGTTTCCTTAACATGCCTCACTGTTATGTAGGGCCAAGAGTCAGCGACATGGCCTTTAGGTTCTAGAATTTTCTACATTTCCATATATAGCTTAATTTTCTATTAAGACAGCTCTTGTTAGCTTACCGAAACTTGTTGAGTACAGAAAGAAAAGAGCACAGCCTTTCCCTACCATTCCTCAGCCTAGGTCTTCAAAAATGGCTCTCATTCTTTTCCTTCTTTGCTGAAAGTTGTTGAAGGATGATGTGCTAACATTGCTAACAACCTACAAACTAACAGTAGTAGATCCAACAGGATCAGCTGGAAAACACATCTCTAGGCTTGCTGTATCATAGAGGGATGGGATTATATCATACCACTTACGTCATGATTAGTGTCTCTTCTCCAGGCTCCCCCAGAACCCCATCCACAAAAAGTGGAATGGATGTGAAACTGTACTTGCTCCAAGATCTCCCTTCATCAAAACTCAACCTAATGGCAGAATAGTTTAACATTCATCAAATCTCTGTTTAAGGAAAGATGTTAGTCACTAGCAAAGAAAATAATAACACACTGAGACTTAATTATAAGTAAATACACTTAATTTTATCAAAAGGCAGAAGCAGAGATACTCAAACTACTATGAGAAGATGTGTTGGAGTATAAGTTAGAGAGAGACTAATGAAATGGTAATAATCTAATGGTGGGAAATAATTTAGATGTTTTATAAGTCTTTACACCATATCCAAATCTATAATGTGTTAGTGGTGGTGCCAGGCATAGATACCCTTGCAGATTTGATAAAATTAAATAGATGTATCTCTAAGTGATCAACTCATAAGCTAGTCCTACTTATATTACATGAATCCTTACTGACCTCATTGAATGAATGTGTATGGAAAGATGGGCTGATGAAAGCAAGAGAAGTCTGCATTTCTGGTACTCTGTTATAATGTAAATGTATGTGTTCTCCTCAAAATCCATATGATACAACTAAAATCACCAATAATGTTAGGAAATAGGTACTTGGGTAGAAGTGAGATCAGAATGGTAGAATCCTCACAAATGGAACTGTTGTCTTATAAAAATGATTGGGCTGCCCTATCCTTTTTGCTATGTGGAAAACAAAGCAACAAGGCAGCATTTAGGAATCTGAAAGTAGTTGTTCAGCAGAAATGGACTTAGCCAGCATTTATGTCATATACTTCTAGCTCACGAAACTATGAGGAATAAATTTTTGCTGTTCATGAGTTCATGTTATGGTATTTGTTAACAGTAGCCTGACCCTGAGCACTGAGTAAGACATCTTAACGGGAGGGTGTGTTTTATTCTTGTCTTTCTCTGTAGATTCCTTTCCTCAAGGTCAACCTTAGTTCGTATTCTGCAGTTTCTCCTAGGGTCAATACAATCAAAGAAGAAGAAAACTCAGGTTATTTACTTTGCACAATCTCAGTATGTAGTGGATCCCTTCCAAATATGGATGAAGAAGCCTGTTAGAAACTCCTGGAGTCATCAAGCCTTGTACATTCATCAGTACAAGACACAGGTAGATTTGAGGACTGTCACATCATTACATGGAACTGAGGACATCACACAGATGAAACAGGATAAGAGCAGAATTGTCATGAATGGTAAGTCTCGGTAAAGGATGCACAAAAACGTGTAGACACTAAACTTCATGAGATGCCATCAGTAATGAGTGATTGCAAGTATTGTCCACTGCTCCGACTACGGGAGAGTGTTAATGAGGCTTTCCAGGTAATGTCACAGAGGAACAAGGAAGGTATGCGGGCCCTGTCACATCTGAAAACCATAATGCAGTTGCTCTCCTGGGAGTAGAAACACTAGCCCATCCTTTGGATTGTCCTCAACTTCCATTTCTAAAAACATGGGCCACAATCTTATTTCAGTAGAACAAAAATGATATGATGTGGTAATAGAGGATGGCAGTTAGAGCAAACATAGTCATAGCATGATGGCTAATTCAGAGGCTGGCCTTATGCATTTTCCTAAGCTAGAAGTACCCTTACCAAAGGTGTCGAATTGGGAGAGATGTGTGTTTCATAGCAACCAGGACTCCACCTTGATCTAGGTACAAAATACTGTGCTCTTCTTCAAAGATCTGGATGAGAAAAAGAACAGACAGTCTAACAACTACATTATATCTGCACCTGGTGTCTAGGTACAGTCATTGTAGGAAGATTAAAATATCTCTCGAACAAATAGGTTTCCCTAAATTTTTAAGGAATGTAAGTGATAAAACAATGCCTCTCAGCATGGTCATGAATTTCTGGAGGTGAATGATGGGAATCAAACTTGGGCCATCTAGAAGTGCAGAAAAGCCCTTAACCACACAACCACTATCCAGCCTCTTCAATCCTTACACCCAATATATGACCCCAGCCTATATCAAAACAGAGTTCTAAGCCATTGAGAGCTTACAGTAAAGAAAGAGCACTGAGCTATCATGTCCTCCTCTCTCCTCTCAAGAAATTACAAGCAAAGTGAGCTCGTGTGATTACCTGTGCATTAGATTTCAATTTACAGTGCTAGCTACTGTATGATAATTAAACACCAGAGGCTTGTTAAAACATATTTATTGAGGTGTACCATTCATCCATTAGGCTCATACCTTGTTATGATAGCTAAACCTCATTAAATGCCTGCTTTATAAGCTGTCAGAATCTAATTTTCATTCAGAAGAAAGATAGGAAGCAGTTAAGCTAAGTAATTCCATTTGTATTTATTGACCATATGTAGTTTGATAGTTATTACTCTGTCATTTACACATGTGATTGAAAACATCTCAGTTACCACCTGAGTGATGCCTATTTGCCTATTTTTGTTTTTCTTTGAGGCAAGGAGAATTTGTAAAGACAACTAAGCTTGACTTGTACAGCATACCCTGAAGGAACCAAGTATTTTATATTATAAATTCAGGGTTTTCCATTTTCTTTTACATAAGAATCCCTTCCAACTTGCTTTCAGGCACATTTATATATGAGCTCTTGATAAGAAATTTCTTTATCAAAAGATTAAAAACATCAACCTGCATAAATTTGGCCTGGTTCATTCCAAACTTGCCTTAAAAGGAGAAAAAAGAAACACATTATTCGTGTTAGGATTCATGTACAATGCTGTCTTTAGGTTTCTAGATTTGAAATAAGTTGAACTATACTTAAAACGTGAGCAGCACATCTCATACCAAGGGTATTTTCTTACCTGCCTCCAAGTGTTCCCTGCATCAGAAGAGACAAACATGCTGATGTCGCTGTCTGACAATTCAGACCCTATATTACCTAGGAAGAGTGCATGGCCATTAGTGGAAGGAAGACTCCGAAAGAGGCAAGAACAAAACACATCAGCAGTCTGCGCTGCTGGAGATGGATTTCAACTACAAACTGTCTAAGGAGGGATTTTCAGTAGACTTACTTTAGGGTCAATAGTTTCGGTGGCTTTTAAAAAATATTTTTAGCTTGCTTATTAATTTCCAACCACGACATCTAGTTTCTTAAAATAAATACATGTACAATATCAAATAAAGCATACATGGTTCTTACCTGAAGCAACTATAATACTTGGGGCTGTGTCTCTGCTGGCAATGATCCCAGATGTGTAGGGATTCTCAGAGACCTTTAGATGAAGGTGTAGTGAACAGTAAGGCTGGAAAGAAGAGAAGTGAATGTCATGTATATGTATAATCAAAATGGTCCCCTAAAGCCCGGATTCTATAGCCAGGCTTATTGCTACAAACTCAAAGTCAACCTGGTCTACAGACTACGTTCCAGGGATGCCTACAGTCTTATTATTTTTTAAAGCAAACACAAAACAAACTAAACTAAAATGCCTAAATTCAAAGCATATAATCTGTCTATCCATCTAATTATCCAGTCTGTCTTCCATCTATGAATATTTTCTTCTACTCATTGTTCTCCTCCATCCACTAACCCATAACTATTATGTTCACAAATGTCTAATGTGAACCAAATATATAAGAGCTTTTAGATGGGTGAAATCACATCAATGACAGCCCTAATTTACCTAAATTATATTTAGTATGAAAAACATTTTAACAATTTTAAATAGTAGGTAGAATACATAAGCAATTACATATCAAAACTTGATTTCTGCTATTATAGATTTTTTTTAGAAGGATGTGAGAATTTCCATTGCTTTGGGGATAAAGAAAGTGTTTTAATAAAATACTGACAGAGGGCTGATTTCCAAAATATACAAAGAACTCAAGAAGCTAGTCACCAAAACACCAAACAATCCAATTGAAAAGTGGGGTGCAGAACTAAATACAGAAATATCAATAGAGTAATCTAAAATGGCTGAAAGACACTTAAGAAAGTGCTAACGCTCTTAGACATCAGGGAAATGCAAATCAAAACAAATCTGAGATAGCATCTTATACCTGTCAGAATGGCTAAAATGAAAAACACCAATGACAGTCTATTCTGGAGAGGATGTGGAGAAAGGGGGTTACCCTTCCATTGATGGTGGCAGTACAAACTCGTGTAGCCACTTTGGATATCAGTATGTTTTTTCTCAAGAAAATGGAAATCCAGCAATTCCACTCTTGGGCATATACCCAAAGGATGGACATTGAACAACAAGGACATCTGTTTAACTATGTTCAAAGCAGTGTTGTTTGTAATAGTCATTACAAAAGTCATTCTAACAGACAAAATGCATTAGTAACATAATTTTAAATGAAAATTTTTAGAAATTTGTTTATCTATGCTTGGAATCCTTGATCAAATTCCTCAGTCTCCCAAAAATGCATAGTATTTCTGATATGAATTTTGTTTAAAGTAGTTCATACACTGAACTGTCAAAAATACAAGTTTGTGTTGGCACCCCCATTTCCTTTCATTTCTCAGGAAGATTCCTTCTGAATCTTATTGTATTGAGTTTTGGGAATCACCACTGTATATCAGTTATTACTTTTATTCTGCTCTGTAAGTCTCAGCCAGTAAATATTCAGAGAGCTATAGGAATGCAATGATTAAATTTATAGAGGAAGGAGTAAATGACAAAGTAAAAATGAAACTCAGGAATAAAAGCAGCCAAACACTACAAAATGAAATCACAGATCACAAAAGGGTAACAGAATTCTCACTAACAGCGTAGAAAGAAAAGGCCTTAAGGAGTAATGAATTACTGATTTGTATGAAATTTTCATGTAACGTTCAAGGAAACTTGTGCATTCTGAGTAAGAAAGCACAGCTCTGAAAGAGAGAGTACCAAACACTTGGCTTTTTTATGCCCATCAGGAAGAGGACAAGAACCAAGGATAACACCGTGGGCCATCTAGAGCATGCTAAAACAAGACATGGAGCCATCATACCACGGGAGCTTTCCTAGCACTTTTAGTTTATAGATCTCCCTTTGTCTTACCTGCCAACATTTATTTTACTATGATTAATCCTGAATGACCTACAAGATACAATTTTATCTTGCTCAGGCAATCTATAAATAAAAACAAGTCAAGTTCTTTATTACATCTTCTGGGGAATCTTGAATATAATTTTAAAAGGTGAACAAAGGATTATAACAAACAGCAAGGATGCTTTTTTGTTGTTACATGGGAGATAATATTATTTTACTAAGAACAAGAGGAAAGCATGTGATAAATCAATCTCAGTAATGATATGTTCGCCTTTGTAGTATCCCAAGGGGCACCATACATCCTGGGCATTATCCCTAAACACAGAGCTTTCATGGGGGGCCATTTAAGTCATTTAACAGAGCACTACATTCATATACAGAGTAGTATCCTGGTCATAATCTTGAGCCAGCTTCTTGCAATAGTTGGAAGACTGTGAAGCCCATTTGATATTTGAACCAGTGATTATTTGGTATAGAAATGTGTGATAACAAAGCGATGTGGGCATTTCTGTCAACTATCTCAAAACTGCTCTCTAGGCCTGGTTTTCAGAGGGCCGAGACTAGTTTGGGAAGAAAAGGCTGCAGCGAAGTTTAGAAGTGAACTCTGTGGCCCATCCTCCTCTCTCACACTCTTAATACTGGACTGTCCCCAGCTGGCACTTGGAGAAATTTCTATGCCTTTTTTTTCCTATAAATTTTCTATGGATGACTCCAATGGCTCAAGGAAAACCAAGAGCAAGTGACTATATTTTGCTAATATTTTGTATCTGGCCTTCTGTACTAAAAGTTACTCCATATCAACCTAACATGGAAGTTTATCATGAGGACCATCACACTGTTCCAAGTTCCTGTACAACATGGAAAAAGGCTTCTGAATTCTCATGTACATTTGGGCAGGAAGGAGCATTTAGTGTTTCTTTATCCTTTCTTCTTGCCTCCTTGTCCTTATTTTACTCACTGGCAAAGAGGTGTGGAGAATCTACATCACACCCACAGCTGGAGTGATCTTTCCAGGGTCATCTCCAACACAACAAAAATGGGATATTTCAGGGTACTTCCTGAAATCTTCCCCCTTCCTACCATACAAAGTAAACATGAGAATGTACACTGATACCAACCGTGTTCTGGCAGCTGGCTTATAGAAGATGAGGTTACCAGCATCCACAGTCAGAAACTGTCCTTTATGTTTTTAATCAATTCATAATGACAAATTATGAATCTCCCTAGTGTCCCTGAGGTTTTGGTTTCCTAGTCTCTAACATTATCACACTGAAGTACAAGGTATTTTGAGAATCAGATGTCCATAAAAGACCACACAAAAGGAAGAAAGGCATGTGCAGAGTTTCATTTGATTTCAGGGAGTTCCCAAACCTTAAACCCCATTAGTGAATCTCCAGATCAAATTACCATTCTTTGCCTACCCTAGTTCTTTTATCCAACAAAACTATTTTCACCAGCATATGTGTCCCATAATGCCCTGCAGTGGGACTAAATCAAAACATAGTTTCTTCATTCTTAGATACTTATCATTCAGTTTCCCTGTCTAACTAAAACATTGTGCCCTCCCATCTTTTTTGCTTGTTTACTTTCTGTTTTGATTGGTTGGCTGTCTGAGACAGGCTCAGTTATGGCCCTTGTTTAGGCATCCTTTGACTACCATCTTCCCCTTTATAGCACTCCCCAGCTTCTGTTATGGGACATTTTGCTCTTTGAGGCTGAGAGTATCCCATCATATTTGTCTTTTGGTTGTTGTTTACTATACTTAGCATAGTGTTTGTAAGTGGTCCATTAATTATCTTCTATTTTCATCAAATACAGTGGGAATCACCTGGTACTAAGAGACACTCCTCCATCCAATAAATATATGAACTTAACAAGCTATTAGGGGTGATTTAGTATAGAACCAGTCCCAAGGACTACTTTTTTCTCTCCATCCTCTATAATAACAGTCTTTACTCATGGCAACTCATCCCATAGCTACGAATATGAAGGGTACACTGTAAGCACAGGTCAGAGCTTTTTAAGAGGAACACGATAGCTACAAAGATCCCAAAGAGCATTCTCCAATACTTCCCCAAGCATACATGATTTCTGTATGTTTCTTATTCCAAATTATAGCAAATATCCATATTATATTCAGTAAAAATTCAACCACAAAGAAGAGGAATGCCCTCAGATGAGTAGTTTGAATATGGGGTACCCAGTACCACTTCAGTTCTGCACAATATTTGGAGTTATAGAGTCTACAGACTTAGGAGTCTTTCCACACAAGCTCCCTACTTAGTTCCAGGTTTTTAAAAAAGTGAAACGAATCTACAAAGAAGTCAGGTCTCTCTCCACAAAACTGTATGCCTTTTCTCAGAGGCACACGTATTTGCCACTGGCTCAGACATGCTCACATATTGCCTCCTGGGAACCCGACTCTGAGGCTTTAGGGAAAGATAGACCATGACCCATAATACCCTATCTAATTGTACAATGCAGTCTTCAGTAGAAAGAAATCCCAATTCTGCCTCCAGGCAATCAGTCTGAAAGTCCTAAAAATACAACCCCAAATTACTCTGGATGTCTTATTCTATAGAATACATCTTACCAGGGACATTCCATTTGGGGTTGTAATTAGGGACTTGTTCCACATTTGTAACAGCCCTGCTGGAAAATCTCTTTTCTAATCACTGGTCTCTGCTTTCAGTGACATTGTCACTTTCCAAGTACTCACAATCTAAAATCACTTTTTATCTCCTCTCTGCCACTGCTTCCCAAGCCTTAGAAGGTTTATTTCCTGTGGGTTTTTTTTTCCAGTCTAGGTAGCTTGTAGTTCAAAGATTTTCCTCTCGTATTTGGCAGCATGATTTTGTAAATTGATTTTGGCCTCTCTTCTCTATTCCTTTTGTCAGTTTCCCTCTTTACTGTTTCCTGGTTTTTGAAGCTTATGTTGAACTGCTTTGAGCAATGGGATTAATAAAGGAGGAAGTTGGGAAGAAAATCCTGGGCCCATCCACCTACATCCCAATCATTCATGTGTCCTCAATCTCAATGCATCTCTTGATTCTGTTAACTTCAGGGTCAACTTGACTTCAGAAGAAGGATATCACAGCAAACCCTTCAGTACAACTGACAGGGAATGAAGAGCTTTTACTACAATCAAATCTAAAAGTCAAACACCTTTCAATGAGAAAACTACATCTACTACAAAACACACAAATATAACATGTATGTTGAATCCTTCATGAGGCAAATTTGTATGATTCTTGATGCAAATTTTTGGAATTGCCATAAGTATAGTCACTGTCTTTGTATTCTTGGAGTATATGTTTAATGCAGGAAGCTAGGAAAGAAAGTCAGCATACAAATGAGCTGATTTTATATAGTAAAAATTAAAATGTTGAAAATAAACAGATTTCACATCACTGGACACTCATGAAAACCACCTAAGAAGAAAGGTTCTAAATGAAAAGAAAAGGCCTGTTTTGAAAGTGGGATGTTTTAAAAGAAAAACCCACTGCAAGACATACTTAAACACATTAAATTCATAACATGGAAAGAAGTGAACTCTTTCCTTTCCATAAGGCTTATGGGTGCAGAAGGATCAAGGGAAAGCGTGGGGTCTAAACAGGAAGAACAGATGGATGCCAGGTCACAGGGGACCACATGGGATCTGATAAAGTGTTTGATTTATTGTACTTGAACTAGAAGTGCATCAGAAAGGTTAAGTAAGTGACCCACATTTAAACTTTCATATGACACCATTTGATAAAAGTGGGTAAATGGGAAATCTAGTGTATGATATAATGAAAGAGATGTAGTAGGCATCTAGGTTCAGAAGTGTGCTTCTACCTTCAGAAGAACACAAATAAAACTTTGAGGGTGATTGGAATTACATGGCATACACATTTGTCCAAATTCACTGATGCTTTTTATGTACTTGTTACCTCAATAGAATTGATTTTTTTTTAAATGGGCTACTGTTGAAACATGGGTTGTCAGGTAGAAATGAGGGGAAACAATGGCCAATAGGAGTCGATCACTAAGTACCAACCAAGAAGTGATTATGCTTGTATTATCATAATCCCATAGTGATGGGGAAGGATGTTAATAATGTATCTTTATTTTGGAGGCGTAATAAAACAGCCTCACAACCCCTGATTGGGGTTGGGAGAAAGGGTGCCTTGCTCAGTGTCATGCTAAGAAGGTACACTTTCCATAATTACTTTAGGATGCCACAGAGGAGAGGCAAAACTGTGTAGGTGAAACAGTTAATATTCCATGCTATGTGGTAGGCACGGGTAAATTTATTAAAGTGATACCATCTTTGAACATTATAGTTCCATAACCTGGAATAGTCTAATGGTACTGACACATATCTTGACTAATATAAATATTCAGTAAATATCTGTTAACATTTACTTATTCTATCACTGGATCTGTGAACTCTATTATAAATGGCTATTTTTCTCCCTGTAAGTTGCCAGTAATAACAATGGGATCTAAGTGGGAGTTGAAATTTCAGACTGCTTTCCTGATGCACAGTGGCAACTTAAATGTCTTTTGAAACTGATAAGGTCAAACTATAGCTTCTGGCATCCTTTTGAGAAAGATGTTGCTCTACCTATTGCTATGTGAGATGATCCTGAGAAGTGACTGCCCCACAGTTGTGGGATAGAATGAAACAGAGTGACAATAAGATCAAAGCAATAGTTGTGAAGAGTGTGATCAATAACAGATGCACATAGAGATGTGATAGATTTAGATAGATAGGCATACACATATATGCACATCTCAAGACCTTACCATAAAAGTAAGTAATCTTTCACACTTCTGATAACTCTGTTATGTGACCTTAAACATAACATCTGAGCTATATTAAAGTACATATTCACTAGGTATCCATTGGAGTGCTGAGAATGGCATGATCATCAGAGCTAATATGATGCAACTAAGAAATGTTTGGTTCATAATATAGTCTTACTCAGTCAAGTAAGCTGAAAATGCCTTGAAAGCACTCTCCATCTTCTGACCATTCAGTCATTTAATATGTGAATAATTCCCTGCTGACATATCTGATACAGAGAGGACTCTGAAAGAAAGCCATGATGTGAAGCAGGGATATGAATATGTAAACTTTCTTTCCAAGGGTAATAAAATAAACATCTCAGGCTTGCTTTGAATGCACATGGCTACCGATTCTCCCTTTGTAAATTGAAAATGACTATGGACAAGAAATAATCATATCATTGTGACTGAGTTCCAGTAAGCATTACACAGCAAACACGTGCTGGACTCCATTTTCCCTACCTTTTGTCAGTCCAGGCATTATAGGCTAAAGCAGATGAAATGAACAGGATATAGAGAGGAAGCAAATAGATGCTTAAGTCAATCATTCTTAACCCTTTGTTGGAACATAAGCTTCTTTCAAAATGAGATGAAATGCATCTTTGTGAAGATACAGTCACACAGCCTGCATTCACTTCACAAATTCTACAGATAAATATTCGCAACACTGGTTCCCTAACTGGTGATTTTCTGGAATTATAAGAAAGGTCAGGGGACAGCGTCTCCAGAGATGAAAAACATTGTATTTCCCTCAAGCTGGAGGTACTTGTCCTAAGCTGAAAGGGAGGGCTTGGGATACACCTCAGTGGTAGGGATAACAACTTAGCACAAAAAAACAAAATGGAAAATCCCACCACCCCCACCACCCAAAACACCAAAAATCGCAGAAACCATTCAGGCTAGAAACAGGAATCTTGTAGTGGAGCAAGGATCTGAGACATGTTCCCTTCTCTTTAATCATCACAAATGACAGGCCTAACCATTCTTTTCTTTGGATTCTGCCCACCTTTTTCATCAGCGAACAGAAGTCCCCAAACTATCTTTATTGGACACCAACTCTAGCCCTTCATCGTGTGGGGCATGCTGTTCCAGCGCGCAGGACTCACCAGTAAACAGTGCACAGGGTCCCCCCTTAGATCTGCATCTGGAGCCTGCAGCAAGCGCCAGTCTCTACCTTTGTTGTAAGTGATGAAAGTCTTCACTTGGTTGTCAATCTTCTTGTTAGCCAAGAACATTCCCTTTATCCCTGCTACCTGGGAAAAATTGACATGGCTGAAAAATACATCAATTTGAGAAAGGGCTTTTTTTAACATTAAAATAACAACTGACTGTCAAATTTTTATTTTAGAGGAAAGACAGTATAGGTGTAAATGCTTAAGATATGCCTCCCAAGTCTGCTTGACAGAAACCAATAGCCTTGCGCCCCCTGCTGTATACCAGTCATAGCACAAGCTGATGTTTTTGCTTTATTCAATCACCAAAAACCAGAAATGATCAAGATGTTCTTTATGAGGAGGAAAGTAAGATATATAGTGGTGTGGACAAACGATGGAATACTATTTAACCCTAAAATGCACCATCAAACCACAGCATAACAAAAGCCATGGAGGACCCAAACACATACAGATAAGTGAAGGATGGCAACTGCATGACACCCTGCAAATGCAAAGCTATGGAGCTACAAAAAATTATCAGTGGTTTCGCGGGTCTTCCTCAGAGGTAGGAATGCATAGGTGGAAATAGGGGATTCTGGATGCAGTGAAATAATCATGTTATGATCGCATAATGAAATATGTATGTAATGGGATATTTGTCAAATCCATGAAATGTAGAACTGAAACTGTGGTACTTTCTGTAAACTATGGCTTTCAGAGATTTACTATATGATGGTTGGTTGCATGTATCCATCGGTCTCCAAGAGACTAACCCCAGCACTTTCAAGCCTATTACTTGACAGGCAAATAGGGGCTACTTATATTGTAGGCTAGATATCACGCAGGGTGTTACACATATTACCTCTTGTTTAATCTTTGTAATATTCTGCTTGGGAAATACTTGCTAATTCTATTTCTCATGTGAGAAATATCTCAGGTACATCCAAGCTCCACTGTCAATGACACAGAGTAAATGCCAGACCTGGGATTGTAACAACGAACACCAGAGTCTCAGAGTGCATGCTTATAATGACTACCTAAATTATTGAGGTATTTTCTGCCCTGTGCAATTGAAAGAGGTCAGTTGAAAGACTACTCCCCTCCCCTAAGACAGGATTTCCCTGTGTAAGAGTCATTGCTGTCCTGGGATTCTCTTTGTAGACCTGGCTTGGCCGCAAATTCACAGAGATCTCCTGCCTCTGCCTTTTGAGTGCCAGGACTAAAGGCATACGCCGCCACTGCCCAGTGAAAGACTCATATAATTATTACTATTTTTAAATGTAAGAGTTCTCCTTGCTAATTCACCAAATATACTGGACATTAGAGAAAGAAATTAAATTTTAAAAAGTAACTGTTTTCTTATCAAATAACCATTCCTGACGTATTGTGATGTTGTTCTTAGCAGAATCAGTTGCTACCAGCGTCTGGGAAGTAATTCAGCAATAAGAGTACCAGTTTATAGTTGCAGACTATGCATTTTCACCACTCTTCTCTGCCTTGGAGCACATTTTTAAAAAATCCTCTCTTCAACTTCGTATGGTTTCAACAAAGTCTGTTTCGATTGTTGAGAGAGAGAGAGTGAGAGAGAGCGAGAGAGAAAGTACCAGTTTATCTTCTAGAGGACTGTGGTTTGGTTCCCAGCACCCACATGGCAGATCACAACCATCTGCAACTCTAATTTCAGAGGTTCTGATGCCCTCTTCTAGAATCCATGGGGACCAGGTACATGAAGTACGGGCATACATGGAGGCCAAACATCCACACTCATAAAATAAAAATAATAAATAAATAAATAAATAAATAGGTTTCTAACAATTAACTATGGAAAAACTTCCTCTTTCTACATGCTAAGGCTAATAATCAGCAAGCTATCAAGATTGTGCAGTCAAAGAGCATCACTTATAGATTATCTTTTCGAGAATTTTCATGTTTTGCTAAACACATGTTAGCCCTTATGAAATGATTACAGGGAAACTGGAGGTCAGTGAGGGAAAGGTCCAAATGTGTTGAATGATACATCCTGGGTATATAAACATTCACTCATTCAGTGCCCAACATTACCATGGGGTAGAGTGGTCAATACCGCAATTTCAGGATGAGGAAATGGAGACTTAAGATTGCAATTGGAGCTATTTAAAAAAAAAACACTTAAAGAGAACTTTGGACCCTTTATAATGTGATTTGATTAATTTTAAGCAGAGGAAATAAACATAGGTTGTCAGTTTGCCTGTCCTTGTTAATAAAGAGCTCTATGCTCACTGCTCTGCACAGATGCCTTCCAAGGATTGCTACAAACCTGTGTAATAGCTTTCATCCCAAGTCTCTGCAGAAGGAAATTGAGGCGTTGACAAATTTTAATTGTTTTTGATCACAGAGAATGGAGTTATTCTGTCTGACTTAGAAAATTCTTGCAACAGATAGCTCAGCATTTGTCAGTTCTAAAAGGCTGGGTCTCAACCCACAGTAGACAGGAATTTCTGTTTTGTTTTTGACACAAGCAGATCTCATTAGTCTGTACCTGTGGATTTGGCATCTGGGATAATTTAGAGGTGAGCCAAATATGTACTTTTTTTTCGGAACAAGGCTATTTACCAAAGAAATGGAGTAAGCCAGCTGTTGAGGGGAATACTTTAAACTACTTAGGAAAACAAGCTGCATTCTGGGCCATCAACAGCTAGGACAATTTCTGGTTCATTGTTGATTGTCGACAAATGTAGAAAGCATAAACTCCAGGAACGCTCTGCTTCCCGACAACTCAGTGTTAATTACCAATGATATTCAGTTATTCACTATAACAGCTCCATAAGGGTTGCTTCCCAGGAAACCCCATATTAGTTTTGCATATGTTCAAGAGGCTGTTACATACTTAAATATGACCACACTGTCAGTCCTTTAAGAATTAAATTACATAAATCAGAATTTTCACAGAACCCTGCTGTTCTTCCCTCTCAACCTGTCTCTAGCTGGAAAGGAGGAAAGACTTAGCCATTCCGTCCTCTCTATAGGCTCACAAAAATGAGAGAAAAAGGAATTTAAAATACTGTCACCAACTGCAGTCATTGCATGCTCTGCTTTCCCCCTGCCCTGTCTCCTTCTTTGACAAGAGCAGCAGAGCACCAGGCTATGAGTTTAGGAGCTGGTTCATTTGACTTGTAGAAGTGGTGACTTTATTGGCCCCTGACTGCGTGGCATTATCAAATGCCACTTGAGCAGAGAGCTGGGCTGTGTTATTCATCTTGGGAAGTGTGGCCTTCAGGTTTATCTTGAGGAATAAAAACTTGGCAAAGCAGAAGGAATGTGTGTCAGCGGAGGCAAAAGCTGGAGAGAGCCAGCTTGCTTTTCTCTTGTAACCAAGGCACTTTATTTGTTTGAATGGGTTTTTTCTTTTTAATTATTTTGCTTCTTTAGCCTGGCCTGCAAAGATGGTCAGCTGTGTCTTTAGCTGCTCACTCTGAGCTTGATGAATGCATTTTTATACGTTTCACAGTGAAACCTTTGAATGGGGCTCCATATTCAAAATGGTTTTTTGTTTTTGTTTGTTTGTTTTGAGACAGGGTTTCTCTGTATTGCTTTGGAGCCTGCCCTGGAACTAGCTCTGTAGACCAGGCTGGCTTCAAACTCACAGAGATCCACCTGCCTCTGCCTCCTGCGTGCTGGGATTAAAGGTGTGTACCACCAATGACTGGCCATATTCAAACATTTTTTAAAATAAGGTTTCATCACATCTCACTTGGACTATTCACTAATTCTTATCAAATGGTCAGAGTTAGTGCACAAAGTACAGAACTGTATGGGGGGGGTGCAGGCATGAACATTCATTTGAGTGTCTGAGCTCATGCATGCATGCATGTGTGTCTGTGTGTGGGTGTGTGTGTGTATGAGAGAGAGAGAGAGAGGGAGAGGGAGAGAGGGAGAGGGAGAGAGAGAGAGAGAGAAGTGGGATCCTATTGGGGAGTATGTTTTCATCATCACATTCTCTTTCTCTGTTTGCATGCTAAATGCATACTTAAGTTGGAGTGGGGTGGCGGATGTCAGGAGACACAGAATCAAATATTCAGTGGAAGTTACAGCATCACACAGACACAGAACTACCAATAAATATTCAGTGATACGTCTTTATACTGGGAGTGTGTCTTATTTTGGAAAAAGACCTGTTAAATTTCATGCCTATTGCATTCAGCATAATAATCTCTGAGAATGTTGACTGTGCTGGAAGCTACTTTCCTCTCCTCACTTCTCATATGGAGGAATTGGATTCCAGAAGTCCCAGATGTAATTCAAAGTTATTTATTGCCATTTAACATCTCAAGCCAAGACACCATTTTGATTAGAATTTAAATGTGAAGTGCAGTGCTGCAGCTCAAATCTCAAGATGAACAGCATACTTCCTGTCTTCAAAGGGCTGTATTCCCTTTCCCACCTTGTTCTCTGTGCGTACTGGCCACTCTGGAATCTCACAGACAATGTGCTAATGCATTTCTCCCTGTATGTTTTTCAGAGAAAGCTCAATACACCTCTTTCCTAAGTCAAAATGTCTTCATCCCCATTTACTGTCCCTAGCACTTCTGTATTCTTCATTTTGTCTCTCATATGCACGGTACAATGCATCGGTTTCATCACTGACGACTCACCTATTAGGTAATAACCCACCCAAAAAGTTTCTCTAGTAGCTTTTAAACTCTATTAGAAGTTAAAGTGACCTCTATCATCATGATCTTTAAAGAGAATATAAACTGATGATCCTACCACTTCCTTAAAATTATTAATTGTGCAGTCACTTTGTAGTAGGGAATCCTAGTTTTGTTTTATCCAAACTGGTAGGAAGAGCTCTCTACTAGGTGATACAATAACCATGTACTGAGTCAAGACATGTCTATAGACTCTGACCTCGACTCAAAAAAAATCAAACTGTGGTGATTAATTTACTTAAATTTCTTGAGTCCTCATGAAATGCTAGGCTAGAGAGGCCTTTCATAAACCCCAATAGATGAACCAACTTCATGCATTCTGTAAATTAAAAATTATAATCACTTTGCGGGTGAATAAATAAATGTTCAGATGAGGAAAATCATCTGTCCCATGCCATTTAGTCACAGACC